TAATAATAATAATAATAATAATAATAATAATAATTTATGTTTATCCTGCTTTTCTCCCAAGTTTAAGATTCAAGGTGGCGAACAAAGGTTTAAAAAGCAAAAACACATAAAATACATATTGAACTAGAACGTCAAAGCCAATTGAAGCAAATAACCAAATTTATCTACACCATATACAACAAATTAGTCATGTATAACATATACGATTAAAAAATTCCCTAACTTCAGGCAACTGAGATTATTTGTAAAGCAGGTTATGCAAGATACTAAGAAACCCCATTTACATGAGGCCGTGTTGCAATTGCTAGGTCCCATATAGCATTCAGAGGTGAATATTACCAGTAGCTATCTGGCAGATGCCTATTGTAATTCAACTGGGAAGGCCTAGCTCCAGAAAAAGGTCTTAATTTGCCCCTCCATCCCCATCTTAATCCAAATTCTTATTGGGAGACCTTCCTCACAATTATATGAACAGAACAATCCTACACATGCTGAGACAGTACTAAGTTCAGGACTAAATGGGATTTACTTCTAGGTTAATATATATACTGGAGAGCCAATGTAGTAAAGTGATTGAACACCCACATTCTCAGCCCCAGAAAACCTGTGATAGGTTTGCCTTAAGGACGCCATAAGTTGGAAACTATTTCAAGGTACACAACAATATATACTATTTCAGCTTGGTTGATATTGGTCTCCTTCACACTACATTATTGTAGCACTTTAGATCTTTAGCCTTTTTCTGTGAGAGTGCTAGTGCCTCCGCCTATGGTGGCCTCATGAATTTCATAGGGTTTTCCTAGGCAAGAAATACAGAAATGTTTTTGCCATTTCTTGCTCTAAAATATAGCCTACAACACATGGTATTTCTTGGAGGTCTTTCATCCAAGTGCTTAGCTTTCAAAATCAGACAAATCTGGTACCTGAAATCTGTAGATTAAAAAAAAGATGTATGTATCCCAAAATTTGCATCTTCATATGTATATAGTTCATTGTCTGGATTAGGGAGGGGCAGAAAGGGCGAGACATCAATGAGACACACAACTCAGCACATAAAGGATTGAAAAGAGTATCTACAGAGGGTTGGCCTACTCTAAAATAGCATAACCGCTGTGTTTCAGTAGTTGGTGAACTGCGAGATCAGATAAATGCTATGAGATTTGCCATATAAAAGGACAGATCATATATACTCATCTATTCCCAACTCAAAGGGAAAACTTGGTGACTAATAAACTATACAGTTGCCACACAAATAGCCTGTCTTCCTGAGAACCTGGCTGAGCAAACCTCAACATTTAACAAGCAGACATAAATAATTACCTCCGACCCCTAAAGAGAAGGAAGGCTCTAGGTCAGAGTTAAGGAGAATGGGGCACGGCAGTCTCAGTCCTCTCTTTATCTCCATCTACAAAGAGGTGCCATTCAAAATTCATTAGTAGAAACTTGCAGATTTCAGCCTTAGGTATTAAAATACCTCGTATGAGCTGAAACTGGTCATTTTGGATTTTTTCAAAAATATCTTTTGATAAATCTAGTCCTGCTTTTGCTACAAATAATTAATTATGTCAAGGAGACCATACTAAAGTTAAATAACCAGATGTTTATGACTACCAGTCATTTAAGTGCTAAATGCACAATTAAAAAAAGGTATTCAGATGACTCAATGGGCCATCTGCTGAACTCATGGAAGCTCTCTCTCTCTCTCTCTCTCTCTCTCTCACACACAGACACACATTTCCCAATATGACATCAGTTAACAAGGATGTCTGTATCAAACCATTTACATTTTTATGTGATCTACTTAACAAAGTGAGCATTTTGAGACTTTAACTTGTTCAACCCTAGATGACAGTAGTAGTGTGAAAAATAAAACTCTCCACTTGTGGTGTGCATTGGATTGGATCCTTATTCAGGAAGAATAGGGAGAAGAGTTTATTTGAAACAGAATGCTTCTAAAGATTTGGAAGAATATTCTGTGACTGAAAAACTATTTGCTGTGATTAGAAGCTGCTGTCGATCAAAAAATACCCGTCCTTAAGCCATCTTCCTTTTTTTTTTTGGTAAGGTAATCTGTAGTGGGGGGTGGGAGTGGGGAGTATATCCATTGTTATCAGGCCACCATAACTCCAATGCCACAGAGCACAAAATATGATGTATTCTTGGGCTAACTAAAAATTGCATTATTAGTTCCCTTTTCTCACCTCTCTGTAATCTTAAAGCATCTCTATTTGGAAACTATGGGTTGACTCAAAGGTGACTTAAGCAGATTTGGGTTCTATACTGGGAGCAAACTCAAGCAAACAAGCAAGATTTCCACTTCTGTCTGGCTTGATCTTGTCATACATTTTCTTGATTGTGAAGTTGGTGCTTGTTCTGTACAAGTACAAGTCTGCTTATATTTAATGACCCTCTCCTTTGAATTCTAGGAGATCAGTAGATGGATAGTGGTGGAATGATTTCATTTTTAGAGACAAGCAGTTGGCCTACAAGGCAACTGAGAGCTGGTTGAAAAGAGAATCCAGTATCTGAGGATGGAGGTGTGCCAACCAGTCCTGGATAGGGTTACACTTCCCATTTGCAGCTTGGGAGTGCTCATGGATCGGTCTCTCCAAATGTCAATCCAGGTAGATGCAAAGTGAGGGGTGCTTACTATCAGCTTCGGCTGATACGCCAGCTGCGCTCCTTCCTAGATTTGGAGGACCTGAAGATGGTAGTGCAAGCACTGCTAACCTCAAGGTTGGACTTCTTAAATACACTCTACAGTGGGCTACCTTTGTACCAAGTTTGGAAACTCCAGCTGGTTCAAAATATGGCCGCAAGATTGGTTATGGGAATATCTAGGATTGAGCATATTACACCTATCCTAAAGTCACTTCACTGGCTGTCAATTAGTTTCCAGACAAAGAACAAGGTGTTGAGTTTGAGCTTTAAAGACCAACATGGTGTGGGTCCAGATTACCTAAGGGATCACCTTCCCCCATACAATCGCCCCATACACTTAGGTCCTCGGGGGGGGGGGGCGTAGTTACTCCAACTAGCCAAAACCCAGCTGGCAACCACCATCCAGAGGACCTTTTCATCAGCTGCTAAGTTAATAGTACAGTGTTTCCTCACTTATTGCTGGTGTTACGTTCCAGGACCACTTGCGAAAAGTGAAAATCCGTGAAGTAGGGACGCTATATATGTATATAGCGTTCCAAGGGTGAGGCAGAAGCAAGGAGAAATTTAAACGCACCACACACTCCACTATCTCTGCTTTGCTTTGCAATATCTCTTGATATTGCAATCGTTGCCAGGAGGTGGAATTAGAATACTACTCTGGGCAACAGCAACCATTCACAAACTGGGAGGCAAAAACCTGCAAAACAGCAAGTCCGCAAAAAGCAAATCGCAAAGTAGCAAGGGAACACTGTATATGGTTATAATGATTGAAAGAGTTGGGTAATTTCAGACTGGGGAAGAGAAGACTAAGTAGTGAAATGATTGTCTTCTTTGAGTGTTGAAATGATTGTCACAGAGTGCAGGTTGTTCATTGATGCCCTAGAGAAGGGGACCAGATCTAATGGTTTTAAAGAACAGGACGGTAGATTTTGATTGAACATTAGAATCACCTTCTTGATAGTAAGTGCAATTTGGCAATAGCCTAGTGAGATGGTGAGGTCTCTTGGGACATTTTCAAAAAGTGTCTGGACAGCTATCTATTGAGGACACTCATCTAGATCAGTAGTGTCCAACCTTTGGTTCTCCAGGTGTTTTGTACTTCAGTTTCTAGAATTCCTGAGCAATGGACAGGCTTCTGGGAGTTTGGAGTCCCAAACACCTGGACGACCAAAAGCTGGACACAACTGCTTTAGATGGAGTTCCTGCATTGAGCAAGATGAATGGGTATTGGTCTATAGGACCCTTTCCATATCTATGATTCTAAAGTAATTAGCTACAGATATGGTTCCAAGGCCCCAAAGTAATAAGCTAATACTTTTAGCTCATTTTATTGCAAACTATTCACTTTTCCACCTCCACAAAGTAACGAAAGCAATTGCCTTTTTGGTTACCCTTTTTGAAAAAAAATATATGAAAACCTCAACTTGATGATCTACGGTATGAAACACAAATGCCTTATTTTATTTCATTGCTTGAATCCTCAGCCTGAGCACTTCAACTATGTGATATTCCACTACTGAGGATGGCCATCCTGCATGATAAATATAACTAAACAGTTACATTATACTGCAAGGTAATGAAATTAGAAGATTATGAGAAGAAACCAACTAAAATCAAATTAATTGTAACTAATTGCTTTAGAGTCCAGATAAAAGTTATTGTGAATGGCCAAGTCTGGGTTAATTTTTACATGTTTCTCTTAATAAATTCAAAGGGTTCACTTCTGGAAAAAAAAGTTTATCCACAAGTAATGTTTATAAAAAAAAAAAGTAGAGGGTCTTACTGCATAGGATTGTGGCTTTCTATGCTGAAGACATGGACTGCTTTCTAACACAGTTATAAAAACTTTAATATAGCAAGGTATAGATCTTTATGGGAGCCCCCGGTGGCACAATGGGTTAAAGTGCTGAGCTGAACTTGCTGATCGAAAGGTCGCAAGTTCGAATCTGGGGAGCAGCGTGAGCTCCCGCTGTTAGCCCCAGCATTTCAAAAACATGCAAATGTGAGTAGATCAATAGGTACCGCTCTGGCAGGAAGGTAACGGCGCTTCATGTAGTCATGCTGGCCATATGACCTTGGAAGCGTCTACAGACAATGCCAGCTCTTCAGAGATGAGCACCATCCCCCAGTCGGACATGACTGGACTTAATATCAGGGGAAAACCTTTACCTTTACTATAGATCTTTATATGTTTTATGTACCTGTCTATGCAAGACAGAATTTGATTCCTTCGTCTGTTTTTAAATGTGTTTCTGTTCTTATTTGTAAGCAGAGACTCCAATTGTCCTCCCCCTTTCCCCTCCTCCTTCAAAACAGAACGAAAGGGACACACACACAACTTCTAATGACCATTCATCATTTTGGATTTAAGTTTATTTCAAAGTAAAATTGGATTTATTTACTAGGTTTATAATAATGCAGAATATGTGTAAAGTAAGTGTGTATCAGTGAGTTTAACCTTTTTAAAATGTATGGAAAAGGTTAAAAAAGTATTTAAAAATACATCAGCAAAAAGTGTTCAAAATGTGTATGCATACTCATACACCCAGAATGTAATTATATCCATTACTTAAAATCATAAAAGCAGCAACTTTCCAATAACCTGCAAACAATTCTTAATAGAACCTTTCACCCCATTTTAATGCAATTCCACCATTTATATTTAGGTTAAAGCTAAAGTTAAAAAAATAAAATTATTAATTGCAATAATTTTTGTTTCTGTTCATTTTTTTAAAAAAAGAAAAATAATAATTTGTTAGTTAGGTAGGAAACTCAGCATCAGACCCTTCAATCACAGTTATGTTTCCACAGTATGTAACTATGCAATCAGTCATGTGTGCAATACATGTAGAATGGATTCTGCTTTAACCCTACTATGCTTCTCTCTTTAAGACAGTTACATATTATTATGCATGTTAAAGCCTTCCCAACAATCTTTTTAAAAAGGAGACAATAAACCCAGGAGGCAATCCTGTGACCCAGGAGACAGAGGTGGCGGAGATCATGATTCATGATCATTCATTTAGATCTATATATTTATTGAGTAATCTGTAAAGAGGTTGCCTAAATGGTTTGGTTTCTAATATTGTCCATTATCGAAAGAAAAGTTTCACAAGTTTTCTTCTTCACGTAAAAACTGGAACACAGATGAGAAGTCTTTCAGGGCATAGCCCTTGGCACACATGATCCTGTAAACCTGGTGTGCCAAAGAGCCAAGAGGGACTGGGGACTTCGTGTTGGTAGCGGAAATCTGGGCCAAGCCAAGATCCTGAAGACAAAAACAAATATTCACAGACCAAAGGTGAAGGAGAGACAATGAAAAGATAAATATATGCAATAAAAGCAGCTGTGATTTTTATTATATAAGAGAACCTAACAGAGTGCAAAAGTTCTGTTTTCAGAATCACCAGAAAGGCACAGTCAGAGTATGCCAGAGCTGGAAGAACCTGTACATATAAGTCGGTCCCATCATCTCTTACCATTACCCATATTGCTTGGGACTAATAGGAGCTGGAATTCAACAAGATCTGGATTATGGGTCCTGAAGGGCCTATACATTATTCACGCCTAGGGTATATGAACACTGGACTAGACAAAGCCCCAGGCAGTCTGAACAAACTACAACTAGGAGTCTGCTTAACTCATTGAGTCCCTTTTGAGTGATGCTTCTAAGTGTTCAAAGTAGTTGTACTCTGCTTCATGGTAAACACCTGGCCACCTATAGACTTATTCTATACAAGTACATTTATATTTTGGTACACATTAAATGTGGGATAATTTTGGCTGCAGTCCATACAGTCCAATACAGTACACCTTTTTGTTAAGACTGCCCTGAAAAACAGCCCTAACTCACCTTTTTGCAGGAGTTTTTTTTTTCGTGTCAAGAGAGACCTGAGAAACTGCAAGTAACTTCTGGTGTGAGAAAATTGACCAACTGCAAGGACGTTGACCAAGGGACACCCAGATGTTTCACCATCCTGTGGGAGGCTTCTCTCATGTCCCGACATGGGAAGCTGGAGCTGACAGATGGGAGCTCACCCCACTTCCTGGATTCGAACCTCTGAACTTTCGGTCAACAGTCCTGCCAGGACAAGGGTTTAACCCATTGCGCCACTGGGGGCTTCTATAGCTAAAATTATGTTGGAGCATGCAAAGAATCGATGAGTGTATGTGTGTGTCAACTGTAAAATAAGATGCATGGAGCTGATTGGTCGGGGTGATGGCTGAGCCTGGGACTTTTGGATACTGTTACATTTTTGTTCAGGCTTGAGCTATGCAGGTGCAGAGAGAAGAAGACAGAAGCAGAGAGAAACAGACTGATTTGCTTCTTGGCTGCTGAAGGAGTTTATTTATTTATTTATTTATTTATTTCGGTCATTTCTACCCCGCCTTTCTCACCCCCTAGGGGGGACTCAAGGCGGCTTACATCCGGCACAATTCGATGCCCACAATTACAATAAAATGCAATAGCAATAACACAATAGATTAAAAAACAGACAATTAATACAGTACAATACAACACAATACAATATCAACTAAAACTGCTCTCCACATGGACAAAGAAATACCATTTTAAAATCTCTCTAAAAGGACATTATGTGAGTTGCTGACGGTGATCAATGGTGCATATGTTGTTCTGAATTAAGAGTAAACTACTCGTTCTTTACTGTTCACCTGTGTGGCATATTTTCTTTCTCTGGCAAGGCAGTGTGTGGGCTGATCAAACGTGAACTACACATGGTTATTTTATATTATGCCACAAATTACTCCGAGATCAAACTGACAGCAAATAGCTGACAACATGATGTTTTGGTGAGATTCCCCTGTATGATCATTTTTCCGCCAAAAATGAAACCAGTTGTCCCTACCTCCAATATGCATACCTACCTTGGCCATAAGAGTTGTTCCAAATCCACCTTGATAATTGTTAGCAGAAGGTACCCCTTCCATGACTCCGGGAACAGGGTTGTAGGTATCGCTTGACCAACAACGGCCTGAGCTCATATTTAAGATTTTGGCCAACAGCTTCGGGTCAAGCCCTAACCTGTCAAAGGTCAAAAGAAGAGAAGTGTTCATGTCAGAAGGCACACGTCATGGGTGACTTATTTTTATATCTTGGGACCTTGTTGTCATTTCTTCACTTGTATTACGAGCTTGAAAAATGATGCAAAAAACCAATATTAAGAGAGGGAGACCCTTCTTTAAATTAAAGGTCATCAATTCCCCATGTTATTTCCAGCATGCAAATTACTGGATGAAAGCAGAAACACAGAGTAGACAACACAGTGGATTGAGTGGAATCCTTTATCTCATCTATATAAGAAGAATATTATGTCATTTTGTAATTCAAATAGGACATTATAGGACATTAGCCAAATCATTCCAACCAACAGGAACGAAGTGACAAATCTAAAGCACAGATGCTACATTGCCATTTGAAATGAGACTAAAATACATCCTCCTTAAATGACATTTTACTATTGCAAACTTTCTTTTTTATTATTAAACCTTTATTATACGCTCCTGCTCAAAAGGCAAGTCTACACAGCACAGTGACATATGTTCTCTATCTATTCAAAGACATGCATTATAGTTCTGGGTCACTTGCTGAGAAGGTTACTGATCCTGATAAAACAAAGCTTGTCCAAGCAGAAACATCATTTGTTCTATCCCCATCACTGAGCTGAAAGCATAAACCACCTCACAGTTGTGGGTAGATTTTAAACACACTGAATATTTTAACCACAAACTCAAAAACAATTGCATCTTCCTGGGATTGTTGCTTTCATGTGTGTACAGTGTCATAGTGCAGCAATTTTTCTAGCAATTACAATAGCTTTCAATAGTTTCACAAAAACCTCATTAAAAAAAGAGACAAAGATTCTGAAGGAAACAGAAAGAAATGTATCCAGTACATACTTACTTAAAAGGAAAAACCCCTTTGAATTCAATGAGGCTTCCTTCTCTGATAATAACACGAACACTGTGAATTGAAAATTGTTCTACAAGGATCCCTCTTTACAACAACATTTTGCAAAGATTCTATTATTCAAGCTTTTGAGTGGGCCATTTCATGGTTTGCAAAATAAGCAATTTTTTTCTTGCCTCACAAATGGTATGTGTTGTTCATGTTGTGTAAGAAACACCAAATTTCAAGCGCAAAAGCCACAAATACTTTTTTTTTCCGTGTCAGGAGCGACTTGAGAAACTGCAAGTCGCTTCTGGTGTGAGAGACTGGACTATCTGCAAGGACATTGCCCAGGGGACACCTGGATGCTTTTTGATGTTTTATATTCCTTTTCGGGAGGCTTCTCTCATGTCCCTGGAAAAGGAGCTGGAGCTGACAGAGGGAGCTCATCTGTACTCTCCCTAGATTTGAATTTCCAACTTGTCCGTCTTCAGTCCTGCCAGCACAAGGGTTTAACCCGCTGCACCACCAGGAGTTCCCATAGTTAGGTATATGAAAAGCAGAACCTTATGAGATGTATTTGGTTTTTGCATCACATAATGTTCAATCATTATTCCCTGCAATTATACACTTTATTTACTCACTATTGTTGTATGTGGGTAACCATTTTATTTTTCTATTTATCAGGATTTTGGATCCCATTTTGGTATAAAATTAACAGGTCAATTTACAAGACCTGAAAATATAATAAAACAAAAATCAGCCAAGTAATAATAAAACAAAAATCAGCCAAGGGAAGGATAAAAGCAGCAGTCAAAAGCCAAACCAAAAACTTATTTCCTATGAGAAATAAAGTGCCAGGGATGTCAGATATGTCTCCTTTGGGATAGCACACCACAGATGCGATGTCTCAGCTAAGAATCTCCAAGTTTGTGTAGAAGCAGTTGTTTGGGATTCTGGCCATGATAGTCCATGTCTTAGTTACATCATGCCTGGACTACTGCAATGCTCTCTATGTGGAGCTGCCTTTGAAAATAGTTTGGGAGCTACAACTGGTTCAGAGATCGGCGGCCAGATTACTAACTGGAGCGCCATACAGGGAGTGGTCCACTTCCATGTTACGGCAGATCCAGTGGCTGCCGATCTGCTCCCTGGCGAACTACAAAGTGCTGGTTATTATCCATAAAGCCCTAAACGGTTCAAGCCCAGACTATTTGAAAAACCACATATCCACATACAAACCAGGCACTGTGATCTGTGGAGGAGGCCCTGCTCTTAGTCCCACCCCTGTCTCAAGCATGGTTGATGGGAACGAGAGAGGAGGGCTTCTCCGTGATCACTCCCTGCCTCTGGAACTCCCTCTGAACTAAAAATGCCCCTTCCCTCATCTCCTTCAAAAAGCTTTTAAAAACCCACCTATGTACGTTAGCTTATGGTTTCTAACGATCTCTGAATCTGGCTCTTAGGCTAAAAGAGGTTCCCCACACTTGCTTTATAAGTTAAACACCAGTATTAGAATTGTGCTTTCACATGATCCAGTATCATGAAACAGCCTCCATTTTGGGAATTAATTCACAAATAAAATATTTTGACTTTAAAAATAAATAAATCAGGCATCATATGAAAAAAAACAATACAATAAGATACCATGTACATATGGCTTCCTAATCATTATTCACCACTCACCATATTGGCATGCTTCAAGCAATCTCGCTAAGAAAAAATGATTGCAGACAACTGAAAGGTTAATTAAGAGTGTGTTGGCAGTGATAAAAGATTCCCTGAGGTTTCACGCACTTGCCCTTCTTTAAAAATTCAAGATTGGGATATTTTGACACTGTATGCCACTTCCAGAGTCAACTTCTTTGTACATCAGAAGGATACTGAATTTTCTGGATCACACTGCATGGAGAATTATGGCATAAACCTATCTATGCCTGCTTAGCAATCAATTCCACTGAATTCAATTTACTCTCAGATAACTACACGATTGCAGCCCTCTCTTATAGCAGTGGTTCTTAACCTATGGGCCACGGGGATGAAAATCTGGTTCATGAGCCTCCTTCCTCTTTATTTTATTTTATTTTATTTTATCTTATTTTATTTATTTCCACTCTTTTTGAGCTGCTTGCCACTCCTTCCCTGTCGCTGACCAGCCCCGACCCCTTGGATAGACCACATCAGCTCTAGATTATTAAATATGGTTTTCTGTGGGTGAGCAGATGGCAACTACTGGATGAGATATGTACTGTATAAGAAACTAGAGCTGATGTGGTCTATTCAATGCAATTTTCTGAATCAGCACCCCAAATAACCAAACCAAATCTAAAGTTGACCAAAAACTGATTTGTAACCCTTTTGGTACTAATGATGTAGCATAGTTCTTGGTTAAAGTGGTCCCTGAACAAGTGGCCTTTGGTTAAAGTGGTCCCTAGTCAAGTGGTCCCAGGTCAAAAAAAGATTGGGTACCACTGTCTTATAGGCTACGTAAAGGTGGCAACTGACCTTTGGTAACCAAATATTGTTCAACCAGAATGGCCAATAGTAAGGGATTCAGAGAACTGGAATATAAATTTTAGGGACATAGGGGATGGAGCTATTCCTATAGAGCAAAAACATATGCATTTCTGTCCTCAGACTGAACACAACTCAGATCAGCTATCTGTGAATTGCCTTTAATGTCATTTGTCCCTTAAGTTCTTATAGACAAAGTCAGTATATTTCTAAAAAGAATTATGTAAACAAAACAAATCAAAATTATTCATTCTTATACACAGCACAGCTTCCTTCAAGAGACTTTAGAGTACCCTTTCCCCTTCCAATCCTTCTCTTTTTATCCCTTGCAGCAAGTATATCATTAAAAGGAGCAAGTTAGAGGTGTTTTGCATTTCATCTTTCTGAGGATTCATCTACTGGTGCGTAGATAACTGACAGCTAAAATTAGACACGTATTAAAATCAGTTACTGAAGAAGTCCTCTGTCTACCACTGTGCCCAGAGCTTGTAATGGTCTGAAAGCGGGTAGAATATACAGTAATTGTCATTCAGTAAGAGTCTATCCTAGAAAGTCATGCTTCAGTGGAGAAGACTGAGTTTCCATTTGAAATCAACAAATTAATCCAAGACAGGTATCTGAAAGGGCAAGTTTAATAGGAAGCAGCTACTGGGCTCTCAACCATGATAAAATGTTATTGCTGTTTCCCTGTAAATTGGCTCCGAACATATGATACTTTCTGCATAAGAGCTCTATTGCTGTTCAGGAGATATACTGCTCAAGCTATCAAAACGATGACAGTCTGTCAGTCCCCATAATAACTTGCCACTGGACATGGTAAAACTGTGCATGCGCGCATGCATTTACAATTACCCAGGTGTTCCATTTTTGGGGTAGAGGGGAGAAAAGGCACCATATTATTTTGGCTTGACCCCATCAATAATTGGAATACGAAATCAACACTCAAGTTCTTCATGCTCATCACAAACAAAGAGGGAGCTCAGAACTGTCAAAACAGTAGATCTATTTAAAACACACACACACACAAAGGGTCAGATTTGAATTCAATTTATATATATTTTCACCACTGTGATAAAATGTAATTTGAGCCTATAAGTTAATTTAGAAATTTCATCTTACTGTTTGTCAAAAACCTTGGTTTGCACTTTGCCTTTGCTCTGGAGCTAGCTAACCCAGCACCTTATTCCTAGCTCATTCTTTCACCTAAAAGCAGGTGCAAGAAACTTTTTCCATTCTTGGTTACTGGCATTCTGAGACACGATCTGATCAAGAGCAAATAGGTCATGGAGAACCTCTTCTTAGTACAGAATGGTGTTTTGAGTGTTTTGAGTCAAACAGAAATTAAAGAAAAAGAAAGGTATATAGTGGCAGAAGGCACCTTTTGCTCAGGGGCTCTTTTTTAACCTCTCTATTTTCTTTGGTCATCTCCTTTTTGACATACTGAAATCAACTGGATGGAGACTGCAGCAAACCCAGGTTAAGTATTAAAAGACTTAACAGCAACTCCTAAGGTAAAAGAGAAAGCCCTCTTTTTATTAGGGCTCACAGTCTTGTCACTTTTAAAGTAATCCTCTTGGCTTCTTGACTCCAAGGAATGAGCTGTGCACAATTGTTACCACCTA